CAGCCCATTGTTCCTTCAGTGGGCTGGTTTCAGTCATTATGCAAATGTACTGTTTATAAGATTGAAACCTGCAGTCAGCTGAGACTGAAGAAGTCACCTGGATGAGCGACGAAACGTTTCTCCCACTGAAAACGCTGCATCCAGATGAACAGAATCAACTTTTTGGAGAATATCAAGCTTTGTTAGCAAGATATATTAATTTACTAATCATAACTAAAGGAATAACTTTGTGGATGGTCTGTTTATGTAGTTCGCTTGCTGCACTACAAATTACTGACAATCCTCCAAACGTGGTCCAGTTCAGTGGCGTGTCCAGTTAGTCACGTGCATTTGTTCAGAAAATTTCATACGGTATATTTGATGTAAATAACAAACACTTTGCACATCTCCATAGCAACACTTTAGCGGTACACTTTTACGTTTGCATAAAATGTTTTCATTAATAATAAAATGGTTTTGCTTATTATTTTTGTATGAAGCAACTTTGGTGTTTGGTCCTTCAGTGTTCAGCCATTAAACATGCCATGAACACTGAAGGAGGCGATGGTGGCGATAGGTTTGTGGGTCTGTGGCCCCCAAATATTTTATACACTAGTATCCCTCAGTTTGGTCCTTACTCATAACAACTGATTCCTCCAAAACAGCCCATAAAAATCTTTCGTCATAGAGATTTGGAATAATTAAAGATAGAACTACTGCTCCGTGTTCCCTTTTTTCTATTCATGCAAACACTAGCGATCTAAAGAAGCCTACTAAAGAGCCCACTAAGAGATAAGTCTCAACAGTGCAGCTGAACAGGATAACAGCGCTGACATGACAGCAGAGTAGATCATGTCAAAGTCTGTTATTCAGAGTGAGGACGAGCAGCAAGAGACAGAAAATCACACGAAGAGTAAAAATACATCCTGTCACCAGTCAATCATCAGATCATGTTGTTTGTCCTCTTAGGTGTCCTGGAGCTCTTTGCGGTTTCTCAGGGGGTCATCGGTATCAAAGGGGTCTACAGTAACAGATTCCTGGCCATGAATAAAAGAGGACGGCTGCACGCAACTGTAAGTATCTCACTCAGTTCCTACACTATTAAATTCACTCAGCACATACAGTGTGTGGATACTTGAAGAGGCACAAAGCAAGTGCTGACTGGAATGTTGTTGCCCAATTAAGCAGCTTTTAATATGATTAATTAGTTATGTGCAGTTTGGATTTATAAAGGTCAGGGCCTTTTGCTAAAGTTTACACTGTCATATATACTTATATATTGTATGTTCATCATATTATTATTGCTAGCAAGCTGCCTTTTTCCATATCAGGCAGACAGTGATCAACATTATTATCC